ACCATTGAGGGGATACTTGTGGTGTTGACTGCTGCACATTAGTGGGTGGAAAAGTACCACCTGCCCAGAGGCAATCAGTAAACATTGGTTTAAAGAGATGATAACACAGGCGACAGGAAAATCGGGCACTGGCGTGGGACAGGATCCCCCCAACACTGATGTGCATCTGGGGAGGTGCTAAATGCTTACTTCTTGGCCTTATCCCCAGAAATTCTGATTCAGTCAGTGGGACTTAAAACCCTAGACTCTGCAATTTAAATAATTGAAAAACAACTATGCATGATTCTGTGGAAGCACCTACCTAGATGCCAGCCTTCGCGGAGTATTGGGAAATACGCACCGATGATGGAAGCCATGCTGATTTCAATGAACTGAAACTTAAAGGCGACGAGGGTGGTGCTTTCTCAAGGAACTCTCACCTTCAGCAGAACTAGTTGATTCGTTCCTGTTTAAATTCATGTTTTTTTTGACGGATACATTCAGATATGAATATGCTCATACAAATTTTAAGGGAGTAAGTGAGAGGGGGATAGCCCACAGAAAAAGTTAGATTTTTTTTTATGTCTTGGGATACCCAAAGTTCCAAATCTCTTGCCCACTTGGGAAAAAAAAAATGTTACAGCTTGGGTGTGGGTTCAGCTACATGTTCACGACCACACCAATCACATGATGTTATTAAAGCCTGTCATACTTGTTCCACATCTTTGTAATAACTAAATTCGAGGACCAGCTCATCTCACCTGAATGCCCACATTTCCAATCCTGCCTCATTCTGACCCAACAAGATGTGGAACATAAAAACCTTAAAATAGAAAACTATGAAAACACAAAGATAAATTGTTATTATTCATTAAGCTCCTCCTCTGTGCCTAAGAAAACTGTCCTGCCCGAGTTTGGCAATAGAGAAAGATGTTCCTTTCCACTTTCACTTAACAAACCCACCTTTATACCCAGAAAAAGTATAAAAATCCATCCAACACACTCATTTTCAGTGGAAGCTCCCATTGATGAATTTTCTTGACATTGTTTTTTTGTTTGTTTGTTTTGTTTTTTCTGTTTCTCTTTTGTGGCATTTCCCAACTGTTTCATCATGTGTTGGGGCAGGGGGGGGAGAGAAAAGAGCTCAAGCTGCCCATTTATTGGGAAACAAGCAAACAAAAATATTCTAATCATCACCTTTACATATGTTGCTGTTGCTGAAACAGCGTTGGTGATTACATGGGCTGAACGTAATCCTACTGGATGTGATGTGTCTTCATACTCTGTTTCCTGGGGACCAGACTGTAAAGTTTCTAGACCTGGAAACAAGTGATATGAGATCAGTGATGTAAAGGAATGACGTGGACTCATGAAGGGTCACCAGTGACTTTGCTGAGCACAGATTACTGCGTGTCCCCCAAAAGAAGGGGAGACAGATCCCTGTCCTGGATAACAGCATAGATAGATTCTGAGAAGTCCAGGTTTAAATGTGGGTTCTTCTCTTTACACCCTGGGTAGATTGTTTAACTTCCCTGAGTCTCAGTCTCTCCAGCTATAAAACGTGTATAATGAAACTCCTTCCATAGACTATTAAAAGGATTTAAATAGAATAACAGCTCTAAGTCACCACCTACAATTTCTAGTGAATAAGTTATATTTAAGAAGTGTTGAATTCCTCATCGTCTCCTGTGACGTGCACGCACCATAGGAGACGCAAAGATTTTTAATACTGTGCTTGACACAAAGAAGTGTTTGGTGAATGAATGAAATCAAAGCTCCTGTCTATGAACGTGTACAATCTGCAAGCACACATAAGGCACACACATAAACAGTGATCCGACCAGGTTGAAAACTTCTCCTGGGACTACAAATGGTGGGAATATCAATTCTTCTGATATCCGATTATTAAAATGGGATTTTTAAATGACATTTACTTTCAACTTTCTTTCCTAATTTCTTTCCTAATTCAACCCACATTAGAAATTTGGGAAAGTTCTTATATGAGGTGATTTTCCGTGGCTGCATAATAGTTCCTCGTGTGATTGTGTGACAATTTATTTAATCATTCTTCTTTTGAGGGAACTTATGAGTATATCTTTTTATTTTTTCCACTCTGAATAATACCAGGATGAATACTCTTAACCAAGAAATTTTTTAAAAGATCTTTATAAGCAGCTTTTTTGTAAAACTTTAAAAAATACAGTCAATGTTCCTCTAGAAAGTTTTTCTTTCTTTTTTTTTTTAATGGAGGTATTGGGGATTGAACCCAGGGCCTTAGTGCATGCTAGGCATTTGCTCTGCCACTGAGCTATACCCTCCCCACCTTGAAGGTTTGTCTTAATTGACATTTCTGCCAAGAGTGTAGGAGACCTTACGAGATTTTCACAAGGAAAACAATGAGGTTGGTCTTTGAAGCCAAGGCCCAGTAATCAGAATTCTGGTGGGAGGCTAGTTTCTTTGCTGAAACACAGATGAGTTCTTTGAGGAAAAAAGGAAAGGAGAAATCTTAAGACAAGTTAGAGTCCCTCTGGGATGAATGACTGAATCGTGGGTGGCCACACTGCGAGTGGGGACGAGGTGGGGGTGAGGCTTTGAGTTCAAGGCTGGATTTGGATTATCTGAGTGTTACACCTGTCCCTCCATGATCCCAGCGTCTCTCGGTTCTCATGTTGACCCCACACCTGGAGACCAGTCCCCAGAACTGGGCACCATTTCTCTATCTGTGAGAAGGCACTGTGTGCTCCCTGGATATCTCCTGTTGGCTGATTTATTAGTTGTCTTTCCAGTGTGTGTCTGAAGCTACTCTAATTAACTAAACACTAAATATTGTTACTCAAGCTGCTGAGAAACCTTGTGGTTTCCTTCTCTGAATATTTTCTGAAAACATGTGTTCCCGACTCTTCAGTGGAAGCTGAGATCACATCTGGCTGTTCTTCCCAATCCCTGTTGTGTTCTGATGAGTTGAGAGGAAACCGGGAATAACTTAGCAGCTGACGGCATTTTGCAAAACAATGTTTTCAGTGTTTTGTTTGTTTGTTTTGTTTTGCTTTGTTTTTCTCGATCCCCAATTTTAAAATGACTCAGAAGATCCAGTTTTCAAATTTGTTGTGCATTTTCAGATGACTCTGCTGCTTTTAGAGCTCCGTTTTGTAGAGACAGGACATGGAGAGAGAAAAGATAGAGCAGGGACTTCCTTTTCCCTGAACGAGCCTTGCTGGGAGTTTTAAAAATACAAAACACCACAATATTCAGAAATTAAAATGTCAACTTTCGATCAGTTTGTAATAGCAAAATATATTCATGGTACTTTTCCCCCAGAATTGACACAATATACCATCTTTGTGGCTATACCCTCTTTAGCTACAAAAACAGAATGCTACATTTCTTTGAAGACAAATGAAGACAAGCCCTACTCAAAAGATAGAAGAAAAAAGTGTATTTCAACACTACTTTGCACTGCTCAACTTTCTCTTCCTCTGGGTGGAGGGCAGATCTCAGTACTCAGAACTGCCAAATGGACCCGTGCCCACTTGGTTTATCTGAAAGGTTTATCAAATGAAAGGCCCTGGAAACAGACAAACAAACGTCAAAGCAAAAATCACAGACGACACTGGAGTTAGTAGCTTTTCGGAACAAAACTGATAAACTGAACTTGTTTTGCCCTATTTCCTTTCTTGGACACCATCATCTCCCTTGATAATTAAGAATTACCTAATTCTTCATTAAGAAAATTATTTAAAATTCAAAATGCTCAAGAATCAGGGGGAATCCTAAATAGCACTCATTTTGTTGGCTGGGACTGCTTTGTACAAAAACGATGCAGATTGGGTGGCTTCAAAACAGAAATCTATTAGATATTCACAACAAGGTCCCACTGTACAGCACAGGGAACTACATTCAATATCTTGTAATACCCTATAATGGAAAAGAATATGAAAAAGAGAATATATATATATATATACATATACATATATATATACACATATATGTATGAATAACTGAATTCTGAATCAGCTATATTTCAGTTAAAACAAAACAAAATAAACCAGAAATTTATTATCTCACAGTTCTCAGAGTCCAAGATGGAGGTGCAGGCAAGGTTGGCTTTCCATCCTGAGGCCTCTCCCCTTGGCCTGCAGGTGTCCACCTTCCTGCCGTGTCCCCACATGGTCTTTCTTCTGTGGACGCACATCCCCTGTGTCTCTTTGCAGAAAGAGACCTCACAAGGACACCAGTCACACTGGATTCATTGGGGTCCAACCCTAACAGCCTCATATTGACTTCATCACCTTGTCTCCAACTGTGAAGGTGTTCTCAGGTATTCAGAGCTGGCACTTGAATGTCTGACACTGGGGGTCACAATCCAGCCAATTCCAGTTACAAAGAGCTAACAACAATGACACAGGTCATCATCAGTTAATGATGTTTTTTTGAGAGCCTGCTCTGCTCGGATGACCTGAACAGTCATGTGCGTGGGTATGCAGGGTGTGGGAATGCAAGAGAAGGGTTCACCTTCCTCCCTCCCTCCCTTTCCTGGCTGGATGGATGGTGCTTTCAGTATCTCATCTGTTGTCTAAAGCATCTGGGCCGGATTCAAAGCAACATCATCAGAGAGAGCATTCTCAGAGAGTCTTCTATCAAGTCCTCACACAAAGCCCAGCTCACAAGAGTAGCATCAGGGGATGGGAGGGTCCTCACAAGGCCATGCAGTCCATCTGTTCCTTAACTTCACTCTTTAGATCAAGCCAGTAATTTGAAGGCTAATCCTTAATGGTGATACATTGATGCATCAACATTAGTTCCTTAGCTTTTCTCCACAGAACCTCCAAGAAATCGCTCTACACAAAGTCCTTCAAGAAATTCTTCCATGTGAAATTCAGTGCATCCCTATGTGGTGAGCAGGCTCGTGAGGACACTTCCCAGGGGATTCCTTAGTGTCATCCGTTAAAGGATCTCCATGAAACCTTTCTCAAAATTCAGTGTTCAGAAAACTTCTACCTTCCTTGAGGATTAGAGTTCTTCTTTTTGTGACTAAGAAATGTATAATGGATGGTATCTTCTTTTTCTCTTTTCCTGCCAAAGTAGAATGAAAAGTAACTAATTTCCATAATTTCACTTCTGTTCTCATTAAGACAATTGTAATCCATATTTTATTATGGATTTATGTATCTGTTTTTTTGAAAACCATCTGAAATCAAAGAAATGAATAGATATAAATAATATTGTTCTTTCCCTTGAGGTACTTAAAATTATCTTCAGAATACAGAATAAATAATATATTTATTTTTTATCATGAAAGTTTTAAAAGAGTAAGTACCTACCTAGAGCTGGCTTGATCAAAGAAAAAATGGAAGAAGTAACATTTTTAGTAAAATTTGAGGACTAGAAATATCAGATTAGAAACGTTAAGATGATTCCAAGTCCTTTCGAATCTTCTGAATGATATTTTTGGGAAGCTGATGACTCCCAGAAAGACGGTTGAATGGTTCTTTATAATCTAATTTTCTTCTAGATAATCTAATTCTTGAACTAAACTAAATGATAATCTGTAATCCAATTTGTAAGCTGAGCTATTTTCTGTTATCCTGGTATTTATCCAAATAAAAATGCACTCTTAGACTCCGGCGTGGGCACCTCACTTCTGCATTCAGACAGGGTGAGTGTATTTCAGGCTCACAGAATGCAATCAGCAAGCGTCTCATGAAATCACCGACCAGCAGCTCCTGGACGTGACCTTTCAGGCCCGTGTCTGCCAAGTCACCTGTGTCACTTCTGTCCTGCGTTACTGGCTGAGGCAGTCACAAGCCCACCTAGATGAAAGGGAAGGGGAATGCCAGAGAATTTCCAAGCCCTCTTTTGAAGTCACCACATGTATACCCATATCTTATTTGAGAACTCTAGCATTGAAATACGTTTATGAAATATTTGCATTAAATGTCTAATTTAAGGTAAACAGTGGTTACTTGTTCAGAAGAAAACTATTAGTTGCCTGATGGATTTTCTGTTATTGTCTCCTTTTGGAGACACCCTTTATCCTCATTATGTGGACAACAAACAAAAAATAAATTTGAGACAACTTTCCTGACTAGAGAAAAAAGGGGATTAATTTGCAGGTGAAATGAGTCATGGGAAGCTTGACCTTATATGTAAACATAATCAAAGCCAACATTCTTTTTACATTTTTAATATCTCCGAAATTGGAATGAGTCTTACAATTAATGGTGTATTTTAGCTGAACTGGTGGCAGCATTTCTTTCCAAGTGGTACATAAAACAATGGCACATAGAGCAACTAACACGATGAAATATGATAGCTGTTATTCACAATTCCAGAATAATCGTAGACACTTAGGATATAATCTTACCCTCTGTTTGGGGCCATATTCCATACAACCAGAAATGAGTCCTAGATCTTAGGTCTTGCTTGGATTCCATTGTCTGGAAAAACTGTTAGCCCTTAGTAGAGTTCCCCTGCCCACCTTTGGTACTGCGCTCGTCTCTAGTTTGATTCCAGACTTCTAAGAGCAACCAGAGATGCACTGGCAGTCTCTGCCAACTGCAAGGCCCCCTAATTGACTTGTAACTATTGACTGAGATCCCAGAAGGCGGCCTTTGTTAATGGTATCTCCTGACAGGAGATGAGGAAGGTTTGCCAGCGCTGGGTCGAGCCCTGGATGCAGTGTATCATGTTCTGTTCCAGTCACTTTGCTTTGCCTCACGATAGCAGCAAAATGACTCTTGGAGGATGAAACTCCTGCATCATGTTATCTGATACAATGTGTTCCTGGCTGTGAGCAAGATAGCTTCAAATTTCTCAATAATGGTTCTGTCTCAAATCTTAGGTGCAATAATTCATCTTTGGGGGGATTGTACTGAAATTATCACTGAGTGTTTATACCACCATACTTTTTAAATAGGAGAGTGCTTTATTTTTTGCACATATGTGTGTATAGACATATATGTCTACAAACATGTACCATATATATATATATATATATATATATATATATATATATATATATATATATTATA